CTGGGAGATGGCGTCGTAAGTCCTCTCTGATGTGGGGTCTCCCTTCGTCCTTTAGATCCAGACCCTGCCTGGTCCCCCTGAACCTGACACCCACCATGGATGACTTTGACCGCCGCAGAGAGCTGAGGAGACAAAAGCGGGAAGAGATGCGCCTGGAAGCAGAGAGGTAGGACAAACACTCGGGTTCTGTCCTGAACAGAACGGTGGCTTCGGGCTTCAGAGACTAACCTTTAGAAGGACCAACTGCTTGTGTCCTGTTGCAACCATTTGCCAAAGGCGTCCCGGGAAAGACTTTGGACCCTCCAGGAGCCCTGCAGGCACAGGGGTTCAAGCGCTGGTTGGTACCCGACCCCGCCCACCAGCCGCTCCCTGGGAGAAAGAGGAAGCCGTCTGCTTCCCCAAAGATGTACCGCCTGCGTGGATGGCTGTGGAAGCCCAAAATCCGTCTGCAGGGTCCCCACGTAGATTCAGTCTCTGGTGAATCCCCTCTGACTCTCGTTAAGGGATGTGAGTAGCCTTGCGATCAGAGAGAGCATCGCAAGGTCCCTGTGGTAGACCTACTATGATTAAAATGTCATACCCTGCCATTTGATCTCCATTGGGACCCATTTTAATGTTGTTACCCTGTTTAATATTTTCTGCTTTCTCTTTGAGCTTTTCTACGTTTTGCCTCATCATTGTGGTTGGGTTTTTTGTTTGTTTGTTTGTTTTGTGTGATTGTTTTTTGTTCCGTGTGATTTTCTGTAGATAAATCCAGGCTGCTTAGGTCTAGAGAGACCATTGCTGGATAGGGACATGGTCACATGGGGTTGGGAGTGTGGGGGAGGAATAGGGCACTAAGAACAGAGTCTGAGAAGAAAATGTTCTGCGATTGATTGTGGTGATGGCTGCACATATCTTCTTAATATGATTGAACGAATGGGTTGTATCATAGATGAAAAACATGCTAACAAAACTATTAAAAAAAAAAAAAAGATTTACAGCCCTGAGGTCCCTAGGTAGCAACGCTGCTCCGTCCTGTAGAGTAGCCATGAATCGAATGCACCCAAGGCAGTGGGTTGGTTAGTTTGGTCTAAGACTCTGAATTGGATGTAAAATAGGAAAACAATGACCAAGACTGAGGTTCCCAAAAAGATATCCGAGAGGAGTCAAATCGCTGCATTGAGTCAGTGTGGTTCCGGTTGGAATTTTAAATGACAAAAGCAGGTTGGAAGAAAGAGGATCATATTGAAATGATGGGGAGATTCCAAATGTTGAAGAGTGAAGCCCGCCCGAGTCAAGGGAATGCTCCGTCTGCAAAAATACAGGCAGGCAGTCCAGCCAGTCTTTAGGAGAAATTTTTATTCTTATTAAAATGGCAAGCTAATCCCCAGATCTGGCCCCCACGGGCTGATAGCCGATGGTGTTGCGTCTCATTGGGTCCTGAGTCTGCGTGTGGGGAGCTGTTCTGCGAGGGCTTCGTGGCAGTGGCCTTGGGGGTGGCTGGGGAAGTGTGTGAACTGTGTGAGGTAAGTACGCAATTAGAATCAGTGGGCTTCCTGTCCAGCAAAGGCAGTGGCATCGAATGTGGCTTAAACTGGGTCTTCTTTCCAGGAAGCAGGCCAGGCCTCCCTCCCAAGGAGAAAATTGTTCAAGGATATCTGAAGTTCAAATCCCCTTTTCTTCCCAGTAATCCCAATGCACAGATGGAAAGGTGGAGGGAAAGGGAGCCTTGGGTGATCCTGAAGTGGTGTTGTGGTTGTTGGTAGCCAGCGGTGCAGAGCAGAGTCAGCCCCACCTCATGACAGCACAGCAGAATGGCACACTGGACCGTACTGCGGTCACCTCCATGGCCCAGTACAGATATTCCAAAGGGTTCTCAGTTGACTAAGTTGAGGTAAATGGCCAGGCCTTTCTTCCTAGTCTGTCTTAATCTGGAAGCATCACAGAAGCCTGTTTGGTATCATAGAAAAGCACAAGCCTACACTGACAGAGCCTACATCACACTGCGCATGAATTGCATTGACTGGGATTCAAACCTGGGTCTTCTGCATGAAAGGCAAGAATTCTACCACTAAGCCACCACTGTCCCCCAAGCCAGGTGCTGAAATAGAACACAAAAAACCCGTATCTATCGCCAAAAATGTATGCTGGGCCTTATGCTACACCTACAGAGAATGGAAAGGAAGATGAGGATACAATGTCTGCCTGGGTAGACATGGCCAAGTTGGCTGACATTTTGGACTGTCTACAC